AAAAAAACTAAAACGCTGCCATCAATAGTATTTATATCGTATATACTCAACAACAAAAGAAACGCTACACCTCCACTGATGTCTTTGGAGTAAAACAGTCTAAAGTCATTCGTTCTGTCAATAATTTATTTTTTGATGCTGAGATATATGTTATTCTTTAAAATAAAAGATTAAAAAATATTTGAAAAACAAGTTTTTAGCAATTTACCCTTCCGGAACACCGGTGGGTTCGTGTTGATCAGTCTAAAGTTTTCTATCAAGTGGTTTGCGACCTGTTTATCTGTTTGTCATCGTTCGTTGTTTGACATTACATTATTTCCGACTTATGAGTTTCTAGTATCCCCTCGATATTCTCCGCCTATTTTTTGTTTTGTTTTTTAATTGGATTTCAAAAGATGCCTATCCTGATACCAGGTATTTCCATCATTTTGCATATCAAAATCATGTTTTGCAATATGAGCTTTCATTTTCAATTGTCGATTGATGTATCGTACAGTAATAAATATCTTACACTACAAATTTTTACGTTTTGTGTCAATTATCTCATCAACATTTTAATTATTTCGAATCAGTAGTGTATTTAAACATATGTAGATGATTGCCAATGACAAAACTCTCCACCAGTGACCAACTGACATGGAAGTTATATATGCCAACGTACAGCCTCCAACAATGAGTAAGACACATATCGTATAGTCAGCTATAAAAGCCACGAAACGACAAATGTAAAACAATTCAAAGGAGAAAACTAATGGTCAGATGTATGTGCCAAACATGGAACTAAAACAAATATGATACTAGTACACAGCAACAAACTAAAACCACTGAATAACAGGCTCCTGACTTGGGACAGGCACATACAGAATGTGGCAGGGATCAACAGGTTTGAAGGCGCTAACCCTTCCCTAACCTGGAACAAAGGTGCAACGGCACAACACAAGGAATAAACTACACAAAACAATAAACGTCAACCACTCATTTACAGGCTCCTGACAATTACATGTAGGACAGTCACATATAGAATGTGGCGGGGTTAAACATGTTTGCGGGCGCCTCTCTCCTAACCTGGGACAGTGGTGTAACAGCACAACATATGAACAAACTATATAATTAGTTGGAAAGGGCTTAACTCATCAGATTGATATAAAACAGAAACTAGAGGATCTAAAGATCCTGTGTCGCTCACTTTGGTGTATGTGCATATTCAACAAAGGACACTCTCAAACATTTAAGACAAGAATAGAATTCATAAGAAAAATCTCTGATCATTTGGTCTGTTTAGTTTCTCTCTATCTTCTTTAGTTTTTGCTCAAAACACAATAGAGGGTAAAACAAATTCTTATTTAAGGGGCTGGGCAATCACTCCTATAAAGAGTGACAGCCTACAACCTTTATCAGCAAAATGTAACTTTTTAGTAGATCGGACGATTTCCTCTATATTGTCTTAATTGTAGATCTTGTCTTCCTGATCATTTTTGCCTATTTATGTTTCTTTCTATCTATTATAATTTTTAATAAGGCAAAAAAAAAACCGTAAAATATTGTAAAAATCATCATCAAAGGGCAATAACTCTCATAAGGAGAAGGCTGACGATTTCGACAATCAAACTCATTTGTAGAACTTGTCTTGCTGATCATTTTTTCAATTTAATGTTTCTCTGTATCTATTATAGTTTTCAAGATAATACGCAAAAATGAAAAAAAAAATGGTAAAATTTGTCATTTAAGGGCCACAACTCCTATAAGAAGTCGTCAGACAATTTTGACGTAAACTGACAGTAGGTAGAGCTCAACATTTTAAACATTTTTGCCCTGTCAGATTTTCTCTATTCATATCGGTTTTCAAAATAATAGACAAAACTTGCATTTTACCTCTATGTTCTATTTTAAACCATGTCGGCCATGTTGGTTGGCAGGCGGGGTCATCGGACACAATTTTTAAACAAGTTACCATAAGGATGATTGTGGCCAAGTTTGGTTAAATTTGTCTCAGTAGTTTCAGAGGAGAAGATTTTTGTAAAAGATTACAAAAATTTACGAAAAATTGTGAAAAATTGACTTTAAAGGGCAATTACTCCTTATGGGGTCAATTGACAATTTTGGTCATTTGACTTATTTGTAGATCTTACCTTGCTGAACAATTTTGCTGTTTACAGTTTATCTCTATCTATTATAATATTCAAGGTAATAACAAAAAACTGCAATTTTTCTTAAAATAACCAATTCAGGGGCAACAACCCAACAACGGGTTGTCTGATGTGTCTGAAGATTTCAGGGCAGATAGATCTTGACCTGATGAACAATTTTAATCCCATGTCAGATTTGCTCTAAATGCTTTAGTTTCAGAGATATAAGCCAAAAACTGCATTTTACCCCAATGTTCTATTTTTAGCCATGGCGGCCATCTTGTTGATGGGCGGCATCTTCCGATACATTTTTTAAACTAGATACCCAAAGGATGGTTTGGGCCAAGTTTGGTTTTATTTGGCCCAGTAGTTTCAGAGGAGAAGATTTTTGTAAAAGTTGACGGACGACGGACGCCAAGTGACCTTTTGGGCCATGTGAGCTAAAAAGTGAAACAAAAACAGACCGGATGTGGCAGGGTATTGATACATCCACACAACAGAAAGACACTAAGTATAGATCTGAGAGTACTCGCAGTTACTGACAGCTTGTTCAAAGTCAAGAACAACTGTCATATATCTCAGACTAAAATATCATTTAGTTTACATTTAACATACAATGGATATAGTGTTAAGACGTCATTAGCAGTCAGAGAATAACATGACCTTGTGCAATCGCAAAATACAGGTATCGACATATTGTAGAATCTTGAATGTGCAAATTTATATAAAAATAACATTAGTTTTGTAGACAGCTCTCTCACAAGCAAAAAAAACAACCCTAATTGTAAAATATATGAGCATACACCACAGGCACGGGGACACAGTCTACTGCATCCACACAGCACGAGCAACAAACCCTTCAGTTAATATGAAATTAAGAAGATGTTGTATGATTGCCAATAAAACAACTCTCCACCAGAGTCCAAATCACATAGAAGTTTAAATGTTAACAACTATAGATCTACTTACGGCCTTCAAAAATGAGTAAAACCCATACCGCAGAGTTACATGTATCTATAAAAGGCACCGAAATGACAAATGTAAAACAATCCAAACGAGAAAACTAACGGCCTGATTTTTGTCCATTATATAAGATAACAGTTTTCTTAGTTACAGGAAAGACTGAATCAGAAGAATCAAACTAAATCCGAATATGTTTTAAAATAGTCGCCCCTAACAACCTTTGTAGAGTTTAAATACTTTGGTCTATACTATCGTTCCGTTATCAAACATTTTTGATTCGCATCACGGTGCGAGATCTATTAGTTTCAGTCTATATGCATTTAGTACTGGCCGTCTTGAGATTATTACTAAAAAAACAGTTACATGTGGTTCTGATTGTTTGTTTATGGCTTATAATAAATTATAAGATTGAGAACACGTCAAGAAGGGAGAAGTAATTATATACAGCTTGTCTATCACTATAGGTATTCGAGACTCGATCGATGAACAATATTGTCTCGATAGAATCACATAAAAACACTAGGGTCGGTCTTTTCACCACCGAACACCACCGCACTCCGCCGAACACCCAAAAAGACCAATAACCCTTAAGAAAAAAAGTAATGTTACACAATAAAACAATAAAATCGATTAAATTACGTAAAATTTAATCGTATTGTCATTTTTTTCACATTTTTATGTGCATTAGTGATGTTAAAGTTGAGAATCAAAATAAAAAAAACGCTTTCGGATCCAGCAATATTTTTTCCGGATTTACATTGTCTGTATTTCATTGCATATTATCTTGTGGTCTTTCCTTTCAATTATTAGAAATAAATTGTTCAAATAAGTTAAAACATTTTATTTAATGTGAAATTATCACAATAATTATATTTTAAAAAATGTTAGACTTGAAAGTGTACTGTTCTGACAACAGCCCTGCAAGACTGTTCTTTTTGGTTCTCTTGTTATCATTTCTTATTAATTTGTGTATATATATATGTATAAACATATTCATACTCGTTCGGGAGGTAAGTCAAATATATGAATAAAGATGAAAACAATATATTTAGGTGTGTTAGATGGTATTTTAATGTGTTCGGTGGTGTTCGGCGGTGTGCGGTGGTGTTCGGTGGTGAAAAGACATACCGGTGTTGGGTATGCACTGACAGTCAAACTTGATACATTCGTGTTTTTATTTATAAAGCTTGTGTGACTTAAATTCAGCTGAAAAGTATCGATCTCTTGATAACATGATAGGTACCCGCATAGGGGTACACGACAACTCGTACCTTTGCTAACTCATACTTTATTTTATTTGTATGTTGCTATATTATCATGGTAAAAGTACGAGTTGGTAAAAGTAAGAGTAAAAGAAGGATATAAGTAGGTTGAGTACGAGTTGGCGAAGGCACAAATTGACATGTATCCGTACGCATACAATTATACGTACACAATTCTTGAATTTTCACTCATATGACTCCTTCTTGACAAATTTGCTGCGATCATTTTATCCTAATGTTATGGGATTAACGTAAAAATACGATAATCCCAATTTTGGAAACGGATGGATATGTACATTCAAACCTTAATTTCACCTGGTGGGTAAAAAAGAGGCGGACGATACCAAAGAAAGAACCATAGCTCGAAGAAGACCGACAAAATCATGACATAAAATGAAAAGCACCAAGAAGACAAACAACAGCCTACAAAATATTACAAAGAAAAACAAAAAAACCGAGAAACACGAATACCATAAAATGAAACACAATACCTTGACAATACATTTGAACTGATAAAGAGCTTTTTTCAAAAGTGACCAAAATAAACCCTGTTTAGTAGCTATCAAATAATGTAAAGAGCAATTTCCGGTATACACACTGTACAACGAAGTTATTAATAACATGAAGTGTGCATTTACATATTAACTTCCTTAGCGTTGTGTTAAAAAATGTAGTTCGTGATCAATGAATTCGTAAACATGACTTCACTGTTAAAATTCGTTGCATACCATTCCCGTTTGATCATTGGAATATTAGCACTCTCCACCATGTGTAATTGCGATAAAGGTATGTATGATAGAACAATTATCTCCGGACTACTGAAATTCCATTAAAATTATACAAATGTGCATGTAGTTTAATTTTCACGTTTTAAAGAGTTCTCGAGAAAAGTGATGGTCCGAAGGTTCTGATCACCATAATTTTGCAAAGGACCGACACAATTTTGATATTTTGAAATAGAAATACATGTAATAATGAGGATCAGCAGATTTTCTTCAAGGACCACCAGAGAGAAAAAGATTTCAAGAAATCTGGTTTCACGCACCATCTGAGTCGTATATTACTTCAGATAAAAATAAATTAATTCAACGGAACGTATTAACTCATTCGCCCCCAAGAGATTTCTGGAAAATCAGGCATTTTCGAAAATTTGCAATCATATGCAAATTATATGCAAATTAGCAGACTCTTGATGCTGTAACTGATGCTCATCTATTAAATTATGTATTGAGATTTGGGGGCGGATGGCATGGGTGGGGGTGGGGTGGCAGGTGGAATATTTTCTCGTGGGTTTGAACCCACCCCCACTGAAAAATGTTAATTTTCCGTCTATTTTCCGATTTTAAAACGACCTTGAGAGGTGAACATTGACCAGACTGTTTTTCTTTGTCATTCAAGTATTACCCTATAGTTCCATAAAATCTTCTCAGATGTCTGTTCATGAAAATATGGCACTTTGAAAGCCGTTTAAGAGTTCAAAATCGGAAAAACGTGAAAAGTAGCCAAAATCAGTTATAGTTACAGCAGTCCATTCATCCTAACTGGGAGTATATTGGACTTAAGTGTCTTGCTGGGGAATTATTATTGTCAAGTCAGGTCTGCCTAAATGTCCGTTTTTACGGATTTTTGATAAAACGGTGACCTAGATTTTACAGACTAGATTCATATTGGCCATATTATACCTCGTTGTGTTCCTGTACCACCTATGCATGCATTTATGATAATAGTTTATACCTACAGTCACTACCAGTTACGTAGTGGCCATCTAAAGATGCCCACCCCCACCTGATTTTGGCTACTTTTCACGTTTTTCCGATTTTGAACTCTTAAACGGCTTTCAAAGTGCCATATTTTCATGAACAGACATCTGAGAAGATTTTATGGACCATGAACTGCTTGATTGAAGTCCCTGCTATCATGACAGTTCAGCTGGGGCAGTTCAAAAAAGGTATGGAGGGTCATACCGGCCATCAAAGAATGGTTGTCGCCATCACGCCTACAGGCGGGATTGGGGGCTAAAGGGTTAAACGATTTGATCAAAATCTTTAAATTTGACTTCTGTTGGGTTTGAGAGTCGTTTTGGGGTGTAAAACTGACCAAAACACTCTTTAGAGGTTGAAAATCGGGGAAAAAATATTTTTAGTTTAAACGATTTGATCAAAATCTTTAAATTTGACTTCTGTTGGGTTTGAGAGTCGTTTTGGGGTGTAAAACTGACCAAAACACTCTTTAGAGGTTGAAAATCGGGAAAAAAATATTTTTAGTTTAAACGATTTGATCAAAATCTTTAAATTTGACTTCTGTTGGGTTTGAGAGTCGTTTTGGGGTGTAAAACTGACCAAAACACTCTTTAGAGGTTGAAAATCGGGAAAAAAATATTTTTAGTTTAACTCATTCGCCCCCAAGAGATTTTTGGAAAATCAGGCATTTTCGAAAATTTGCAATCATATGCAAATTATATGCAAATTAGCAGACTCTTGATGCTGTAACTGATGCTCATCTATTAAACTATGTATTGAAATTTGGGGGCGGATGGCATGGGTGGGGGGTGGGGTGGCGGGTGGAATATTTTCTCGTGGGTTTGAACCCACCCCCACTGAAAAATGTTAATTTTCCGTCTATTTTCCGATTTTAAAACGACCTTGAGAGGTGAACATTGACCAGACTGTTTTGCTTTGTCATTCAAGTATTACCCTATAGTTACAGCAGTCCATTCATGCTAACTGGGAGTATATTGGACTTAAGTGTCTTGCTGGGGAATTATTATTGTCAAGTCAGGTCTGCCTAAATGTCCGTTTTTACGGATTTTTGATAAAACGGTGACCTAGATTTTACAGACTAGATTCCTATTGGCCGTATTATACCTCGTTGTGTTCCTGTACCACCTATGCATGCATTTATGATAATAGTTTATACCTACAGTCACTACCAGTTACGTAGTGGCTATCAAAAGATGCCCACCCCCACCTGATTTTGGCTACTGTTCACGTTTTTCCGATTTTGAACTCTTAAACGGCTTTCAAAGTGCCATATTTTCATGAACAGACATCTGAGAAGATTTTATGGACCATGAACTGCTTGATTGAAGTCCCTGCTATCATGACAGTTCAGCTGGGGCAGTTCAAAAAAGGTATGGAGGGTCATACCGGCCATCAAAGAATGGTTGTCGCCATCACGCCTACAGGCGGGATTGGGGGCTAAAGGGTTAAGAGACCAAACAAGGCGGACTCATGGAAGTGATTTCTAGGTATTTTTATTTCTAGATACATGTACCACAGGAACCATTCAAATCACCACTCTATGTTTAAACAACAAATTTATTTTGATAAACGTGGGTTGTCTTTTCTAGTACAAGTATAACACAGTGTGGATTCTTATAACGTGACTCTGTACTTTAAAAGATCCCGTCATTATGTTATTGTTCTATTATATGTCATTATGTTATTGTTCTATTATAAATTTGAAAATACTTTGAACGACAAACGACAAATTTATTTTACTCGCGTAGTGGTATTTACCATATGTGGATTCTTAAGGGTTCTGAAGAACTTTTGGACAATTATAAATCTCGGTCTATTTCTGAAATTAATTCTAACATAACTTTTGATTTTTTAACCCTGTATACCAACATTCCCCATGTGAAATTATAAAATTGTTTTGAATGGACATTGAATGACAAACTTTTTTTTTATGTGACGTTTACATTTTCTGACGTCAGACACGCGAAGCAATGAATGTGTGTTTTAATTTGATAGATGCTTTTGTGCTTTTTGTGTAAATAATTGTTTGTTTTGATATTGTAACACAGTGATGACTGCTGTACCCATATTTTGACTATTTTATTTATAATGTCTGTTTTGTTCACGCATCGTTGTAAATATAACGAAATTTGATAAGACTGTCGTACAAGTGAGAGGTTTAGCGCTATAAAACCAGGTTCAATCCACCATTTTCTACATTTGAAAATGCCTGTACCAAGTCAGGAATATGACAGTTGTTGTCCATTCCTTTGATGTGTTTTGTCATTTGATTTTGCCATGTGATTAGGGACTTTCCGATTGAATTTTCCTCGGAGTTCAGTATTTTTGTGATTTTACTTTTTTCTAAAGAGTATCAATAATAGATGTAACGTTGTGTAATTTCTAACCATAAAATTAAATCGAAAAAGTTTGAAATCCCTGTATATTTTTGTTTGTTACCAATACATTTTTACCATATAACCTGAATTTCGAATGAACTAGATGTACCATGATTTGAAATATAAGTTGATTTATTTTGTCCCTCTATTTTTGTAAAACTGTTACTATTCAGCATATTATTCTACCCACGCTTTAACGTAGCGTGGATAGAAAGGTTTGACCAGTCAGTCAGTTAGTCAGTAATATTGTTTGATACATGTATATGGTAACATTTATCAAGAGAAGATCTTTATTGATATTAATATAAAAATAAGGAGATGAGGCAGGATTGCCAATTAGACAACTATCCGCCAAAGTTCAAATGAAGTGGATGTAACGATCAAGGTCGCAGTTACTTACCACGATAAGTGCGGTAAAGTGGTTTCCGGTTGCTATTAGTAGATATGCCATTGTGATAACAACTGTAGTACGATGATAATTTATATACAAAAATAGGATTGATTGATTGATTGTTGGTTGCTTAACGTCCCGTGGTAAATATGTCATACATGGTAACGATGAGAACAAGTAAACAATACATACAATAGGTAGGTCCGGTATTACAGGTCGTCTGGGATGAATGTGGGGGAAACTTTGACTGCCACTGCAAAATGAAGGTACATTGGATAAGGACAGAAATTTTGCCTTACTACAATTAAGCCACATATAGAGCGCACAAAGAGTTGTGTCATGGGTTATTAACTAGAATTAAATAAGAACTTGGCACTCTCTTTAACGTCCCCATTCTGATCGGACGTGGCTCCATACTTGTACGTCCAGCAGAGTCATACGGATGCCTCACTTTGGCAAGAGTTTTACTGCTTGTTGGGAAAAGATCAAAGTTATTATATGTCTATTCTTCAGTCACCGTAAAAAAAAAGTTTGAATACCAATGAGACATCTTTCCACCAGAGACAATAGGACATACTAGAAGTTAGCTTCAATAGGCCACCGTTCGTATAGAGAAAGATCCCTTTTGATTTTGAAGTCCATGTCTCAATGGTTAAGGTCAAAGTTTATAAAAAAAGAGTAAACTTTTAAGTGGAAATTTATTTTTAGGATGCTAAATTACAAACTAAATATGGGGTTGCATCCTTACATAGATACATGGTTACATAAAATTAGGTATTGATCCCTTTTGATTTCGAAGTCACGATATGTCTTACATGTAGGTCAAAAGTCAAAAAGTAATTACTTTAGACCGAAATGTGTACAGAGAAGTGGTTTCAGGACACTATAACTACAACTGTTACAAATACTACACTGTACATATGGAATTGCAATCTCATTTGGCTGTATTTTAACATTTGATGAGAAGAAGATCCATATCAAATTGAGGTCAATACCTCATAGGTCAGGGTCATATTTGCTATAAAAATAAGAAGATGTGGTATGATTGCCAATGAGACAACTCTCCACCAGAGACCATATGACATAGAAGTTAAAAACTAAACCAAAATATATGCAAAATAGTTATTTCTGGATGGTAAATTGAAAACAACATATGGGATAGCAATCTTACTTGGATATGTGGTCATATATTATGAGGAAATATTCTCACATATGTTTAAGAAACCACCTGATTAACATTTTCTTTGTATGCGGCGTTCCACCATTTTTGCAAATTTACATAACTTTTGAACAATGTACGCATGCATTATTTGGAGACCCTCTTTGAATTAATATCATTTCGAACTCATCAGGTGGAATACCAGCGTTGTTTTTATTTATTTTTTAAATCACAAATGAAAAATCTAAGAGGGAAAAACAACCAATTATCAAAAGAAAAAAGAAAAATCAAAGCGCGACAGTGCTGCCGCCAAGTTAATGTGTTGGTGACTACTAGTATCCACTGTAATGTAAATTAATTAGTATACATAGTAACCAACAGAATGGAAAAAATATAATAAACCAAATTTGAACTGGCAATCCTATAGCTATTAATAGGCACATTTTTCACTTTTTCGCTCCTTATTCTGTTCGTTATATATGGGGAAAAAATTAAATCCTAATCTTGTTCAAATTGTCAGATTAGAATCTATACATGGTTTCATGATTTATTGATTGAATTTCCTGAACATCGTGCAAAGGGATTTGTTTGTCACTACAGTCCCGATTTGATACTAAAGAAAAAAATGCGATCATTATTCAAAATCAAACAAAGCTTCAATCTTAACCGAAACTTGTACGTACATTTTACCAACATACCAGTAGCTCTTGTTGCATTTTCTATCTAAAAATAGTATAGCCCTCCATAATGTACTCACATTTAGTACGTGTGTTTATGCAAAACTCTTTAAAGATTTTTTGAGCAGCCTAAAAATAGCAACCACAATGATTGACTGGGATTAGAATTCTGATCACATTGAATTATAATACTCTTTCTCAGCAAGACCGATTTTAAAGCGTATGGCGGTGCGGGATTAATAAAACAAAGCAGTTATGTTCATCCAAATATATGATATTAAGTGTGATGCCACTTGTTGGGAGAGTTCTATGCTACATGTACCTTCAATGTTTGAAAGCCCTTGTAAAACATTTTTAATGGATTCGTAGGTGTATACTGCAAGACAAATTATTAGCTACCGTCTGTTGTCTAGTAATAGTCTACATTTTTTGCCTTTTATTCCACTAAAACCACAATGCAGTCTTTAAAACGCAAACGCATGTATTAGGAAAATCAGTAATTAACGACCAAAAAAAAAAACCCCAACAACAACCAAAAATATACAAGTTTTTGTTTTGGATAAGGCCAACCTGTCCCTCTGTCTATTTTAAAGCAACTATGAAACGACAAATATCGTAGAAAAAGCCACACGTTGCTTGTGATTTAACCAATAGCTACATGTAAATATTATAAAACTTAAATTAAAAATAATAACGAAGTATTGCAAAATTTAACAGACTACATAAATTCGAATTCCAGATTTTAATTTAACATTTTACAATGAAAGCAAAACCTGGTCTGAAGCCAAAGACTTTTGTTTCATGAATGGTGGGATCCTAGAGACAGACCAAATTATCATAAGAAATTATACAAAAGAACATGTCAAAATATGGCTTGGTGCTTACAGTATGATTACTCCATGGGCAGGTGTGTTTGGTAAGTCTCTTTGTAAGCAACTATAGGGAACTGACTGTATGACCAACCTGCAGCTTATTAAAAAAAATCAATTCTCAGTAGATATATCAAAATACTGCCAGTCATTGTCCAGTTATTTTCAACATCATATAGCGGAAAAGTCGAATCGTGTTATACAAAAGAAAAGAGCAAACCAAAAAAAAAAACAACACAAAGCAGAATTACAACTACTTTTATTTTAAACTGATAAAAAAAAATGTTTTCAATTGTTTTATCTTAAAAATGATAAATGATGCATTTATTTCGTTTTCTTGCTGACGATTATATAAAGCATATTCAAAACACATTAATTTTTGGAACTCATATATTTCGTATGAATAAGTATAATAAATAATTACAGCATTTGTTTCATTGTATCAGTCCTTTACAATTGCTACACATTCCTGATATAAGTATGTGTGTTTTTTTTACATTAGGCTGCTATTTTTGGAATGTGGATGATAGAAATGACTCAATAGAATTTGATTTGCAGAATAAAGAAGAATGTCAGATTCGTTGTCCACAATCACATTATGAGTTTTTTGTCTTCAAGGTAATTTAATTTATTATATATTTATATATATTATTTTATAGTGCAACCTGATATTACATAATAATTCAACATATTTAAGTACCTTATTTACATATCAGCCAGCCTTCAAAGACTTATGATGCACTGCTATTAAACTCTATCACAATAATTACATGTGCAAAAAAAAAAGAAAGAAAAGATATTTAACGTAATTTCTCAGGTCTATAAATTCAAATAGAAATTAATTGTTCTCTAATTTTTGTAATATCAATTATATAATTCGATACATATTTACTGTTAGTTGTAAGTAGTAAGTATTATACATCATGTCAAAATGGCAGATTTTGATTGGTTAATACGAGGGAGATAATTTTCCCTATCCCATGGCAAATACTTTATTACCCTTCACGGAGACGCTTGATCAATTTTGCGCTTTAATATATTCGGATGGTTGTTATGTTCAAGACGTGATAGTGCATTACTTTGAATTTGAAGTCTAAATGACACTAATGACAGAACATTCAGTATAACAAATTAAAAAGCAAATAGCTGAGTGGGGGATAGAGCAGATTGTCACCCCTCAAAAATAACTTGTCAACCTTGGCATCGCTCTACCCCCCCCCCCCCCCCCCCCCCCCAAACCCCTATCCCCCACCCCCTCAGCTATATGCTATTCATATACTAGTCTGTGACATGAATTTACCTGAGTCTATCTTCGTTTTCGCTAAAACAAGCCAGGACTGGAATCATGACAATGATTTGAAATAATAGAAGAATCTGTTTATCCTACCGTAGCACCTTAGATCTCCCTATTTTGGCAGAATTTGTTTTGCTCAGTCTCGCAGGTTTTTTTACTGTTTTGAAGTCCGTTATTTGTTATTACGTCGTTTTTTTTTTTGTCATTGTATCTGTGTTTTCTCGTTTATGGTCGTCGATTGTCCCTTTGATGTATATTCCCTACTTTCTTATTGCCTCAAGGTATTTTAAGAAAATATGTAAAAATTGTTTCTCATTTGATGTGGGGTATTAAATATCGAAATTTGCACTCCCATACCCATTATAAATACATACAACCATGCTATATTTATCTCCGAGTACCTCGGCTTCCACCAACAATAAAAACTAACTGCCACGAAATAGCAAATAGTGCTGAAAGTGGCGTTAAACACCATACTATATCAATGAATACATTTCTAAGAAGTACCGAAATTTGTTTTTATAAATTGAATTGCGTTTGATAAAATTTCAGTATATATTGATCTTAATGACCTTTTAGTTCATATAAATTTTTAAAATTTTCGATGTGCGATTTTAGATAATGGATTTCCAAATTTTGATAAAATCTTTTTTTTTTTTTTTAATATCTCATTGAGATTTTATCCACAAAGCAAAACGGGCCAAGGCATGAATTACATTCAACTGAAATATGGTATATTTATTGAATTAATAAAAATAACGAACAACAATATACGTATACTATGATTTCTGTGTTTATAACAAGTGTTTCTGAAAGAACTGTCAAGTACACCCGATATCAATATTCCGAATCTGTAAGGGGGTACCCAACACTTTTACTAAAATATAGTTTGCTCGTTTAATTTTCATAAAAATTTTACAAAATATTTACTTTGAAAAAAATATAAAAAAATAAGACATTTGAACCACACAATTTACAGTAATAATTTTATTGGATTTATACACTGTAGCAGTTTGACAAACACTTCATCATTCAGAAGCTTGAATTCTCTTTACTTATAGTATGTGGTTAAACATTCAGCTAATTTATAAAGAATAAACACCCTTAGGTACCCATTAAATGCACCCGTGACTTACATGTCAAAAAGCGAAAAATCTTGAAAAAGAGACAGGGGATATCAACAGAACAATTATAACAAATTCTTTGGAAATAAACGACAAAAAGGAAAACAAGTTTTTCAAAATATAGAAATAAGAAGATGTGATATGAGGCACTTTATATGAAGCTAAAGAATAAACTGCACTAACCCCACATAGAAACCGGATTTAATCTCAGGTCAAAAAAAACCAACAGCCAAAAACAAAACAAAATGTTTACAAGGTAGACCATGCATTAATTGACAAAATTTGGGCAACAGTTTTGCCGATCTTCGAATTCATGAATCGATTAAAACAAAATAAATGAAGGCAACAAACACAAACGGAGGAAATGACAAGAACTCAAAAGGAGGCGAGATCAGGTGCGTCGAATAGGTAAGCGTCTCCTGCTATATGAAAATAAGAAGACATGGTATGCTCGCCTAAAAAATACATATAAAGCATTTGTGAAAGATGTTTTACAATAACAATAATTCAACAGAACGCATATCAACAGTATGGCGATATCAAGTATTTGATTTAGAATAAATCACTCTTCAACACATTTATGCATCACCCGACATTCGAATCAACACTCAGCCAAATAGTCTCAATCGGGAATTGGACACAGTCAGTAATATTACAGCACAGACAACTATTCTGGTATCTGAAGATCTAAGACTGCGACAGCATGTCGCTAATAAGATGATACACAGAAACAGCATTTCGACGAACACATTTGTGATTGTGACTATGACATATACTGCTAAATTGGTATTGGACCATTCGAAAGTTGAAATCATCACGTTTGTTAAAGAATCTAGTTTGAAGTCGTACTTTTGTGTCATTATCGAGGCAAAGCATTAAGACAGGATGCAGACTTTCTAGTTTCGGCTGTATATTCGTAATCTCAATATGAAAATAAGGAGATGTGGTATGATTGCCAATGAGACAATTATCCATCAAAACTCAAATGAAGTGGATGGAAGTAATTATAGGCAATTGTCCGGCCTTCAACAATGAGAAAAACCCATACCCTTTAGTCGGCTATAAAATCTAAAAGTCCCCGACATTAAAATTATAAAACAATTTAATCGAAAAAACTAACGGCTGAATTTATACGCTAATAACAAAACAATTTACGGAATAGAAATATGACATACATGAACCAGCGATAACCACTGAACTACAGGTTCCTGACTTGGAACAGGCACATACAAAGGTAAGCGGGGTTAAACATGTTTCAAGGCGCAAACCCTCCCCTAACCTGGTGTAACAGTACACCATAAGAACAAACTATAAAAATCAGTTGAAAGAGGTTTCAATCACAGATCGATACAAATCAGAAAAACATCTAACAAAAACACAGACAGGACTTGGCACTACGAAACGTTTTTCTCTCATACTTGTTTCGTAGTTGACCATTACGTAGTGGACATATTCACATGTTTTATTTTTTCCCCACAATCCCAATATTGTAATAGTAACAAAAATGTTTCTATTCATCAAAGCACATACAAAGCTGTACATTGATATTTTTTTCCTAACTTTAAAAGCAGATACTGAAGAAGATTTGACCCGTTTCGTAGTGGACATTAAAAAAAATACGGTATCACTCTGGTCCATTTGATGTGCTAAATTTTTTTTGCCAACAATTTAACCACCGTTATTAAAGCATCACTTCTATTGTAAGACCCTAATGTTTATATATCTTACAAACATTAATTTTATAAAACTGTTTATTAGCAATATTTAATGACTTCGTTTCGTAGTTTACATTTTGCCAGGAATTTCAGGGACACACCTTCTAAAATTAAAAATCCTTTGTCAAAAACTGTTTATTAAAATATGTTGGCTCTAAACATACTTTTGAATAATTAAAGAACTTATATTAAGTAAAAATAACATTTATTTCTACCTTTTATTATAATATTTTAGAGTATGAATGTTGAATAGGAGGTCTAGAGACATGCCATTTTGATTTTTTTGAACCATTCAGGAATAAATATCTTATTAATCCCTCTAAAAAATAGAATGTTTCTTTGCTTAAAAATGTTATATCTAATTAAATGTACTGACTGCACAAAAAATTACTTGTAAAGATCAAACACATTTTTTAAAAAGTGGCTGGGACAAGAAATCACGTTTTTATTGAAAAACGCCCATATGGCGTAAGCAATTTAATTAGATATCACAACTTTATTGGATAATCATTATTGAAATTCTAATCGAAGCATATTTACAAATGTAAGAAAAACATGATTTTTTTTTATAAAATATGTGAACATTTTTAGGAGAAAACCTGCTACTGTTTTAATAGTGATAAACTCCCAAAGGATGACATATCTCAAAAGAAATGGTCAAACTCCGAAACTGACTACGTTTTCATTTACAGGCGTAAGTAAAGTTTACATGCTCAGAATCAAAAACATATGTATAAAGCATTTGTAAAAGATGATATATAATAGCAATATTTGAACAAAACTCATATAGTCGGATTGCAATACATACATTTGTATCAGTGTTGTGTTAATTTGATTCTGGAAACATCATCATTCTTATAAAAATAAGAAGATGTGATACAATTGTCATTCTTCAACGTTTGACACTTTTGGCTTTCCATTTTGTGCTTTCAATCAAAATAAGTAATTTTCTTTAAATAAGTATGACTTTTTTGTGATTGATAATATTTCTTCGGTATTTTTTAATTTTGTATGTAGAGATAGATCAAGCGGTAGGGTTATCTTATGTTAAAATGTGTTTTTTTTTTGTCCGTCTCTAAAACTCAAAACTGTTTTTACATCATCCTAATATATAGTTTGGCAGAAATCTTACTTTGTCAGGCATAGATTCCCCTTATTGGAATGTTAAGCTATTTAGTTTACAAAACCTATATAAAACAACAGGATATTTTTCTATTGATTGACATACTGTTGAGGAAAGTAAAGTTTTAAAGCTTTCTACTTATTGGTTGTGCTGCTATCGAATATCTCAACAGTTTGAAAATTATAATATTAATTTCCTTTTGTTACCTTTTGTAGAAAATATAGAACCAGATAGAGATGCATCTGATACTAATAACTGTATGACAGTGGAGTGTAAGGATCGCGATCGCATTCTTACTCCTGAAAACTGTAATTCCACGTATAAGGCGCTATGTGGTAATGTTGGTTGATGCATGGTTAAAGTGTATGCTGTATTATAATGTTATGACAAAATAAGGATAATTTTATTCAAACAAAGTGAGTAGAGGCATATCATAAAAACACGTCACAGTCATAAACTACGGAAATTAAGATATTATGGAAACATTGCAGTTAGAATCGTCAATATAGATAAGTAGAATTGATCTGCAGAACAGCCAAAAAAAGAAAATAGGGGGGAAAAAACTTAAGAAAAACACGAAATATAAAATCTAGAGATTTAGCATCAAGGAGCTCCACCACACCAAGGATGAATATAGGTGCTGTTGAAAAGTAAACAGTTTCTGCTCCTCTTTTAACATTGTTTAGTACGCATGTTTACAATTAATTAACATTGTTTTTCAGAAAACTTGAAAAGGAGATCCACTACTAGTATAAATTTTTACAACGCAACTAAATTCTGTGAGAATGAAGACAGTTTCGTGAGATGGGATCCATCGATATCATGTAATAATTCTGAAGAAAAATTTGACCAGAAACACTGGACCAGTATTACGCGTTCTCAACAAATGTTCCGTTTAACAGCTTACGGTAAATTTAGAGTAGAATACTGACTTTTTTCTATATGCATTTGTCTTTTTAAAGACAGACACGTGTGTATTAAAATTAAAGCAAGTCACATAGTTACCCGGAACTCCTACCGTTGAAAAAGAAACGTCGACAGAAGAAACATCTTCCGCTATGTATGCTGCACTCGATTTACAATTCCTAAATCATGTAAGATGATTTCCTTTTTTGCAACACTATTATTATTATTATTATTATTATTATTATTATTATTATTATTATTAATAAAATAAATTTATTAATATTAGCTTACCTGGCCCAAGGAGTCAAGAGCGTTTCCTCATCCCTTGGCGTCCGTCGTACATCGTCGTCGTCATCTGTCTCTGTCATAGTCCGTTGACCTTTTACAAAAATCTATTCATCTGAAACTACAGGGTCAATTCTGTTCGATGATCCCGCTTGCCAACCAACACGGCCAACATGGCTAAAAATAGAACACCGGAGTAAAACACCAGTGTTGTCAATTAGAGAAAAAATTATATTGGCAAAAACTATAGAAGATAGAGAAAATGTAAACTGTAAAATCGATCAGGAAGACACGATAAACAAATATGTCGAAGTACTAGTAACTACATGTAGTATTGTCAGGTCACTTCTTATAGAAGATTCTACCCCTTAGTGATGACTTTCACACATTTTGTGTGCTTTTTGGCAAAAACTATAATTAAAGAGATAAACTGAACAGGAAAAAAGATATCAGTAATGCATGTCATGATCAACAAAAAAGAGATTTCAGTCGTGAATTATATGCTAGACTAGTCCATTGTAGTCTTCAATGTTGGAGAGGAGCCATTGTTGAAGATGCACACAGATCCAGGTAAGCGACATGGACTCTTTAGAGCCTATGGTTATTATTATTATTATTATTATTTTTATTATTATTATTATTATTATTAAATAAAATGAAGAAAAAATATATCGTTATTATATCCGTATTGAATGCATTGTTTAGAAAAAAATGCCTATATATATCAATTAACATTCAATATAAATGCACAAAAAGTGTAACCCACAAAAACATAGACTAGTTTATGCAAACACGGGAAATGTTTGATTTGTTTTGTTCTTCGATAATACAAAACTAGAGGCTCTGAAGAGCCTGTGTCACTCACCTGTATCTACGGTGGTTTTGGAAATCATGTAAAATAAGATTAAAAGCATATAGATACCCTAATAATATGATTGAGGCCAAGTTTGGTTTAATTTGGCCCAGTAGTTAAATTAAAAGCAGAAAATTTTTGAAAAGATTTACAAAAATTACCAATAAATTGCAGAAAATAAATTTAAAGGACAATAACTCCAATAAGATGTCAATTGCAAATTGGTCATGTTAACTTATTTGTAGATCTTTCTTTGCTTGACATTTTTGCTGTTTACAGTATATCTCAATCTTCAATGATATTCAACATGTTCAAGATAATTAACAAAAAATAAAAAGATTCCTTAATGCCTTTAAATGTTTTTATGGAACACCCTTCAAAACAAATTTGGACAGGGGTTCCCCTGACCCCGACTCACCCGCCGAGTCTGGGGCTTTCACCCAATATAAGTATGCTGAAAGAAAAGATATAATAATGGTTTATAGAAAAAGTAACACTGAATAATTCTGAAAATGGAACATATCAAGGAGAAATTAATAGCACCCCCTCCCTGAAAAAATTGCACCCCTGGAAAAAAAATCAAGTCATCCCATTTTAGTCTTAAAATAGAAACTGAAGACCCCTTATCATCATTTAAATTGGTTTTCAAGTTGTGACCATTTGAAATTGTTTTTTTTTTTACATTTTTCCTCCTTGACTTCTATAGTAAACCCCTATGTTCTATGTTTACCAATGGGGACCATGTTGATTGTAGGACAGGGTCATCGGATACATTTTTCAATCAAGATACTCTAATAATAATTGTGGCTACTAAGTTTAATTTCATTTGGCCAAGTAGATTAATAGGAGAAGATTTTTGTAAAAAATAGTGAAAAATTTACTTTAAGGGGCAATAACTCCTTAAGGGGTTAATTGACAGTTTTGGTCATGTTGTTCTAATGAACATTTTAACCCCGTTAGATTTGCTCTAAATGCTTTAGTTTCAGAGATATAAGCCAAAAACGGTATTTTATCTCCATGTTCTATATTTAGCAATGGCGGCCATCTTGGTTGGTTAGCAGGGTCATCGGATACATTTTTTCAACTAGGTACCATAAGGATGATATATAAGTTTGGTTTAACTTGGCCCAGTAATTTCAGAGGAGAAGATTTTTGTAAAAGATTACAAAACTTTACAAAAATTGTTAAAGTTGACTTTTAAGGGCAATAACTCCTTAAGGGGTCAATTGACAATTTTGATCATTTAATTTATTTGTAGATCTTATTTTGCTGAACATTTTTGCTGTTCACAGTTTATCTCTATCTATTATAATATTCAAGATAATAACCAAAAACTTCAAAATTTCCTTAAAATTACCAATTATGGGGCAGCAACCCAACAACGGGTTGTCTGATTCGTCTAAACATTTCAGGGCACATATGTATTGACCTGATGAACATTTTTACCCCCATGTCAGATTTGCTATAAATGCTTTAGTTTCAGAGATATAAGCCAAAAACTGCATTTTACCCCTATGTTCTATTTCTAGCCATGACGGCCATCTTGATTGGTGGGCGGGGTCATCGGATATATTTTTTTAAACTAGATACCCTAAGAATGATTTAGGCCAAGTTTAGTTTAATTTAGCCCAGTGGTTTCAGAGGAGAAGATTTTTGTAAAAGTTAACGACGACGACGGACGACGGACGCCAAGTGATGAGAAAAGCTCACTTGACCCTTTGAGTCAGGTGAGCTAAAAAATAAACAACAAACAAACGGCCATAATAGATACCAAATCACTCTCCGAATATACAAAATAAATATGAAGACCAGTTTATGCGATCAGGGGATGTTTAATCCAATACACAGTAATCATGGTAATATCAAATGTAAATCTTGTTGCATGATACAGAACCCGTGTAGCAACTAACATAGTGGTCCGATGATGACCTCTTTCACAGCATTTGCTGTTAGTTTAAACAGCATACATATATCAGTATTTATTCTAGGGACAATCGTATGGACATTTTCGTTCTCAATTCAGGTCTAGTCAATCTGAAGAACTTATCAATTTGATAAATTGTTTATGGCTTGAATGTACAAGAAATAATTGCAACTGGTCGTTAGCAAACAACCAACTATGTTATTGTCAAGTGAAAATGGTTTGTATCTATTTACGCATTTACTTTTAATACAAGTCATATTGACACGCAAGACAATAGTTATAACTGTTAAACGATTTCTTAATCTTATTTTCGGAAAAAAATCGCGAAAATAAATACCCGCGAACTTGTTTGAAATACACAATTCGCGAAAATAAGTACAAATACATTATATTCATTACAATATGATTGTCAATAATTAGACCAAGCGATCATGGTGGGTACAATTTTTTTTTTTTATTCAAATTGATAATTTTGAACTCTTTGTTTGGACAAATATTGAAAAGTTCCTTTGCAAGTTTAACACAATATATATAAACTTTCAGATGGAAATAAAAAATTGAAGCCGCTACAGTGTAAAGGAAGTGAAACGTCTGAAGGCCTGGATATGTTTGTTGAACCATCGTTCGTTGACTGTGCTGAGTTAAGGTCATTTTATTGTAGATTTGGTACGTTTATTTTTGTTTTGATAATTCAAACAACAAATGTTAAAGTTGACAACCAAACAGTAACCCGTAAATTATACAAACCTGCATAAATTAACAAATGCATTGCCAACATTTGAAATCATAATCAGTGTAACTAGAATACACCCACTGAAATCACGGACAGGAATTGGATTATCATAATGTTTTTTGTCAAAATTTAAAATGGGAACTAATAACGTACATAAAATTGCGAATGGAAACGGGGTATGTGTCAAAGTGACAACAATCCAACCAAAGGGCAGAAAAACAGCTCAAGGCTACCAATGGGTCTTCAACACAGCGAGAAAATCTCGCACCCGGAGGCGGGCTTTAGCTGGCCCCTAAACAAAAATGTATACTAGTTCAGAGAAAATGGACGTCATGCATTATTAACTGATGTTGAAGGTGTAATTGAACTATTTTTGTCACGACAAGTTCAATTGCTTAATTCCAGCTCCCAAGGACTCAATTTTGTGAGTGTTAGCTGATTTCCTTTTGGATTTAAGAATGTTTTGGTGCATTCTTGTTTAAAAATTTTGACAATTTTTTGTTCATTTATGTATGTTGTTGCTCGGATGTGTTGTTGGTATTAGTCGTACATGTATCTTTACTGAACACTTGCTTACATGGTAAATAAATCTATGGAAAGAATATAAGGAAGACATTTTAGTTTCCAAACTTACCCAGGAGAATCACAACTAAACTGTTTCCTCATATGCGGATCCAGGGGGCCCTGGGGGGCCCTGGGGGGCCCGCCCCCCCCCCCTTTTCGTGGGAAAAATTTGGTTGATTATATAGGGAATCACTAAAGCATGACAGGAGCGCTCCAACCCCCCCAACCCCCTCCCCCCCCTAAGGTCAGTCAGCGGGCCCCCCCTTATGAAAAGTTCTGGATCCGCCACTGTTCCTTATTCGGTCTGTTCTAAACGAAAATTTGGAGGGTTGTGCATCATATCCCCACTTTCTCTTATGTCTCTAAAACTGAACTTGCTGTAAAAGAAAACAGTTCGCAGAAAATGTGTCCTTGGACAGAATGTGTTGCTAACATCAGTTATTTAGATAACATTTTACCTGATTTTTTCAAGTCATCTGAAACGTGTTTGGACTGTTAGTCTGGGTTATACATGACTTGTATGGTCGCCGCTTTCCTAAAGCAAGTTTTTCTTTATTCCACGTATTGTTTTAAATTTTTGATACTGGATATTCCGTCTATATTAAAAGAGAGACAAAAGATACCAAAAGGAGATTCAAATTTATAAGTCGAAAACAAACTGACAATGCAATGGCCATAAACAAAAAATGATCAAAATACAATCAACAGTTTACAAAACACAACATATAAAACTAAACAACAGAGCAACACGAACTCCACAAAAAACCGGGGGTGTTCTTAACTGCTTCGAAAGGGTTATCAGATCGTGTTCCACATGTGGCACTGTTAACACTGATTTCACACATGGCAACATTGTATTCGTTTTTCCCTGCACTTATATTGGTTCTATGATAAATATCAGTTCCTGATTGTATTGTTTCTGTTGAACCCAATCGTCGGTTTAGACTTGCTGTATTGTACTAATACAGTGCATGTAACACATTACACTTTTCAAGTCTGCTTTACTGCAAACTGACATGGCGATCAGTTAAATCTGGTAGTTGGAAAAACGTAACATAGAAAAGGTTTACGCATGTAGTATTATAGATGAATAATAATAATTTTAAACGAACTAACAAACTATAAATTTTCTATTTTTTGTTTTTTTGTTTGATTTTTTTGTTTTTTCGTTTTTTGTTTTTTTGTTTTGTTGTTTTTTGTTTTGCCTTTTACAATATTGATGTTGATTAACAACAGTCTAATTTGAATTAAAGTAAAGAGGCCCAGGTACTTTCATTTTCAATACCTATAGGCTCAACAACTTTGTGGTCATGGTAAGTCTTAATATGCTTGCATCTCTTGAGGAACAATTTAGCTGGTTTCGTATATGGTCTGTTCTTAATTTGTTGATGTTTATAGAACGCAATATCTATTATGAACTTCTTTTGGTAAGCTGAGATCTTTACGGTTTGACATAAAAACTTCTTTTTTCAATTATGGAATGTAAAAATGCATAGAAAATGAGTTATTTCATTATTCTTCTATTGAATTTGTTTTTAACGTATATGGTATAGCACTTTTTATTTACATGGATTTACATATCTTACATACAGGGTCACCTAATGTATCACCCGGAAACAATGTTACCATGGATTTGCCTGACACCGATTCGATTACAAGTTACATGATAACAGGTACTATTTATGCCATATGAACAGAATAGAGTATCACAATCTTAATTTTATGTTCTTCATCTCCTTTTTAACATCTGTGATTTTTATAAGATTATATAAACGTTCTATAGAGGTGAAATATGTATATAAAAATAAGAAGATATGGTATGATTGCCAATGAGACAACTCTCCACAAGAGACCAAATGACACAGAAATTAACAACTATAGGTCACCGAACGGCCTTCAACAATATGTATATTTATGTATAGTATTTGCACTGCGTTTGAGTATGAATGCTCGAATTATGGTAAGCGTCTTTTGTCTTTATTTTTTTTTAACAATTTTTATCCCTACTTTTGTTTTTTTTTTTCTTGTTTATTGCGGCGTCATTGGCGCATATCCACATTTCCTTTTATTTAGACTAAGAAATCAAGGCAACTTTTTCTTTTGTTGCAAACATCATATACATATTGACGGGATAAGAGGGTTATATCATGGTTCTTCCATGCCAGGGATTCTGTTACCCGAGGCATCCGCTTAGGGTAGTAGCCAGTGTTCCAGTCTGTATCGAGTAGACAGCAGTTCCTGATAACAGAAATACTTACAAGGTACAAAGGAACAGCACCATAATGGCGAACATTACAATTTATTATCATATACTGTTGCGTATATGTACTGTTTCCAGCAAAGCTAATCTAATATATTCTATTATGTTTGGTTTACAGGCGTTATAATTGGTATTATACCATCAATTATTGCTGTTGGAGTAGTAATTTGTGTTGTTATAGTCGTTCGTCGACGAAGGTAAGTCAACTACGAACATTCTTTCAGGCATGTACATGTATATTCAATCATATTTCTTCATAACATATACGTATAATTATATACAACAACATATTTCCTTTAAAAAATATTAGCAGGTACATTTATATGGAGGACGGTGAAATGTTATGAAAGTGATTTACGAATCACATTTTACATTCAGCGCGAAAGCGTTGTTTGCTTTCATTTCTAATTGTGTTTCTAAAAACAGCATTCAATTATCATATTAGTTATTCATAGATTTTTTTGATAAGTTTAGATTATATAATAGTTATATAAACATTTCGAGTCTAAAAGTAAAGCTTCAAACAAAACTTTTCAGCAAATATTGTGTATATTGTGGTATAACACTAATTTTATCCCATGTTAATCAAATGTACCATAGATGTGCAGTGTCGGAAACAGTTTCGGACAAATAAAGAAAAAAGTCTACAAAAATGCCAAAGATTGGTCATTGAGATAATGTATAAAGTGCAAGCAACACTTGTTTTTTGCTTTTGCAGATCGGCTAAAAGAAAATCGGATCTTAAAAAAGATGCGCATAAACCTAATGCTACAGAAGAGATTGGGCATGTGAATAACCAAAATCGGTATTCCTATAGTGAAATTAAAATGGAGGATATCAATCAAAACGATAATATGGATAGTGGCGATGAATATACAACAGGACCATCAGGAGTCTATGATCATTTGAATGAAAATAAGGACAGAAAAATAAAAACGGAGAACCCACATGCTATATATGATCACTCTATTGGAGACAACACTGAACCAGATTATGACAGCACCAAACATATTGTACCAGCAAATCCGGATTACCAAGAAATACGACTTCGCAGTGAAGGGGAAAACCACACAGAGAAGCTTTAGCTGTTCGTTCAAACTTTAGTGACTGAACGTGGACTTAAAACTCCCGTTCTTGCTTATATAGGTTTAGTTGCTGTCCCATGAATCACATTCTATTTGAATGTCTGTAGCACATATTTTTTTTTAAACTGATTTAATATTGAAATAATGCATACTGTTATGTGAAATTCTGTTGTATCCTACATTATTTTATTCAGTGAATAAAAGCTGACTCGGGTGAAGAGTTGTAAGACATTGTGATATCAGTTTTGTACCTATGCAACACATAAAACATGTAGGACAGGGTCATCGGATACATTTTTCAATCAAGATACTCTAATAATAATTGTGGCTACTAAGTTTAATTTCATTTGGCCAAGTAGATTAATAGGAGAAGATTTTTGTAAAAAATAGTGAAAAATTTACTTTAAGGGGCAATAACTCCTTAAGGGGTTAATTGACAGTTTTGGTCATGTTGTTCTAATGAACATTTTAACCCCGTTAGATTTGCTCTAAATGCTTTAGTTTCAGAGATATAAGCCAAAAACGGTATTTTATCTCCATGTTCTATATTTAGCAATGGCGGCCATCTTGGTTGGTTAGCAGGGTCATCGGATACATTTTTTCAACTAGGTACCATAAGGATGATATATAAGTTTGGTTTAACTTGGCCCAGTAATTTCAGAGGAGAAGATTTTTGTAAAAGATTACAAAACTTTACAAAAATTGTTAAAGTTGACTTTTAAGGGCAATAACTCCTTAAGGGGTCAATTGACAATTTTGATCATTTAATTTATTTGTAGATCTTATTTTGCTGAACATTTTTGCTGTTCACAGTTTATCTCTATCTATTATAATATTCAAGATAATAACCAAAAACTTCAAAATTTCCTTAAAATTACCAATTATGGGGCAGCAACCCAACAACGGGTTGTCTGATTCGTCTAAACATTTCAGGGCACATATGTATTGACCTGATGAACATTTTTACCCCCATGTCAGATTTGCTATAAATGCTTTAGTTTCAGAGATATAAGCCAAAAACTGCATTTTACCCCTATGTTCTATTTCTAGCCATGACGGCCATCTTGATTGGTGGGCGGGGTCATCGGATATATTTTTTTAAACTAGATACCCTAAGAATGATTTAGGCCAAGTTTAGTTTAATTTAGCCCAGTGGTTTCAGAGGAGAAGATTTTTGTAAAAGTTAACGACGACGACGGACGACGGACGCCAAGTGATGAGAAAAGCTCACTTGACCCTTTGAGTCAGGTGAGCTAAAAAATAAACAACAAACAAACGGCCATAATAGATACCAAATCACTCTCCGAATATACAAAATAAATATGAAGACCAGTTTATGCGATCAGGGGATGTTTAATCCAATACACAGTAATCATGGTAATATCAAATGTAAATCTTGTTGCATGATACAGAACCCGTGTAGCAACTAACATAGTGGTCCGATGATGACCTCTTTCACAGCATTTGCTGTTAGTTTAAACAGCATACATATATCAGTATTTATTCTAGGGACAATCGTATGGACATTTTCGTTCTCAATTCAGGTCTAGTCAATCTGAAGAACTTATCAATTTGATAAATTGTTTATGGCTTGAATGTACAAGAAATAATTGCAACTGGTCGTTAGCAAACAACCAACTATGTTATTGTCAAGTGAAAATGGTTTGTATCTATTTACGCATTTACTTTTAATACAAGTCATATTGACACGCAAGACAATAGTTATAACTGTTAAACGATTTCTTAATCTTATTTTCGGAAAAAAATCGCGAAAATAAATACCCGCGAACTTGTTTGAAATACACAATTCGCGAAAATAAGTACAAATACATTATATTCATTACAATATGATTGTCAATAATTAGACCAAGCGATCATGGTGGGTACAATTTTTTTTTTTTATTCAAATTGATAATTTTGAACTCTTTGTTTGGACAAATATTGAAAAGTTCCTTTGCAAGTTTAACACAATATATATAAACTTTCAGATGGAAATAAAAAATTGAAGCCGCTACAGTGTAAAGGAAGTGAAACGTCTGAAGGCCTGGATATGTTTGTTGAACCATCGTTCGTTGACTGTGCTGAGTTAAGGTCATTTTATTGTAGATTTGGTACGTTTATTTTTGTTTTGATAATTCAAACAACAAATGTTAAAGTTGACAACCAAACAGTAACCCGTAAATTATACAAACCTGCATAAATTAACAAATGCATTGCCAACATTTGAAATCATAATCAGTGTAACTAGAATACACCCACTGAAACCACGGACAGGAATTGGATTATCATAATGTTTTTTGTCAAAATTTAAAATGGGAACTAATAACGTACATAAAATTGCGAATGGAAACGGGGTATGTGTCAAAGTGACAACAATCCAACCAAAGGGCAGAAAAACAGCTCAAGGCTACCAATGGGTCTTCAACACAGCGAGAAAATCTCGCACCCGGAGGCGGGCTTTAGCTGGCCCCTAAACAAAAATGTATACTAGTTCAGAGAAAATGGACGTCATGCATTATTAACTGATGTTGAAGGTGTAATTGAACTATTTTTGTCACGACAAGTTCAATTGCTTAATTCCAGCTCCCAAGGACTCAATTTTGTGAGTGTTAGCTGATTTCCTTTTGGATTTAAGAATGTTTTGGTGCATTCTTGTTTAAAAATTTTGACAATTTTTTGTTCATTTATGTATGTTGTTGCTCGGATGTGTTGTTGGTATTAGTCGTACATGTATCTTTACTGAACACTTGCTTACATGGTAAATAAATCTATGGAAAGAATATAAGGAAGACATTTTAGTTTCCAAACTTACCCAGGAGAATCACAACTAAACTGTTTCCTCATATGCGGATCCAGGGGGCCCTGGGGGGCCCTGGGGGGCCCGCCCCCCCCCTTTTCGTGGGAAAAATTTGGTTGATTATATAGGGAATCACTAAAGCATGACAGGAGCGCTCCAACCCCCCCAACCCCCTCCCCCCCCCTAAGGTCAGTCAGCGGGCCCCCCCTTATGAAAAGTTCTGGATCCGCCACTGTTCCTTATTCGGTCTGTTCTAAACGAAAATTTGGAGGGTTGTGCATCATATCCCCACTTTCTCTTATGTCTCTAAAACTGAACTTGCTGTAAAAGAAAACAGTTCGCAGAAAATGTGTCCTTGGACAGAATGTGTTGCTAACATCAGTTATTTAGATAACATTTTACCTGATTTTTTCAAGTCATCTGAAACGTGTTTGGACTGTTAGTCTGGGTTATACATGACTTGTATGGTCGCCGCTTTCCTAAAGCAAGTTTTTCTTTATTCCACGTATTGTTTTAAATTTTTGATACTGGATATTCCGTCTATATTAAAAGAGAGACAAAAGATACCAAAAGGAGATTCAAATTTATAAGTCGAAAACAAACTGACAATGCAATGGCCATAAACAAAAAATGATCAAAATACAATCAACAGTTTACAAAACACAACATATAAAACTAAACAACAGAGCAACACGAACTCCACAAAAAACCGGGGGTGTTCTTAACTGCTTCGAAAGGGTTATCAGATCGTGTTCCACATGTGGCACTGTTAACACTGATTTCACACATGGCAACATTGTATTCGTTTTTCCCTGCACTTATATTGGTTCTATGATAAATATCAGTTCCTGATTGTATTGTTTCTGTTGAACCCAATCGTCGGTTTAGACTTGCTGTATTGTACTAATACAGTGCATGTAACACATTACACTTTTCAAGTCTGCTTTACTGCAAACTGACATGGCGATCAGTTAAATCTGGTAGTTGGAAAAACGTAACATAGAAAAGGTTTACGCATGTAGTATTATAGATGAATAATAATAATTTTAAACGAACTAACAAACTATAAATTTTCTATTTTTTGTTTTTTTGTTTGATTTTTTTGTTTTTTCGTTTTTTGTTTTTTTGTTTTGTTGTTTTTTGTTTTGCCTTTTACAATATTGATGTTGATTAACAACAGTCTAATTTGAATTAAAGTAAAGAGGCCCAGGTACTTTCATTTTCAATACCTATAGGCTCAACAACTTTGTGGTCATGGTAAGTCTTAATATGCTTGCATCTCTTGAGGAACAATTTAGCTGGTTTCGTATATGGTCTGTTCTTAATTTGTTGATGTTTATAGAACGCAATATCTATTATGAACTTCTTTTGGTAAGCTGAGATCTTTACGGTTTGACATAAAAACTTCTTTTTTCAATTATGGAATGTAAAAATGCATAGAAAATGAGTTATTTCATTATTCTTCTATTGAATTTGTTTTTAACGTATATGGTATAGCACTTTTTATTTACATGGATTTACATATCTTACATACAGGGTCACCTAATGTATCACCCGGAAACAATGTTACCATGGATTTGCCTGACACCGATTCGATTACAAGTTACATGATAACAGGTACTATTTATGCCATATGAACAGAATAGAGTATCACAATCTTAATTTTATGTTCTTCATCTCCTTTTTAACATCTGTGATTTTTATAAGATTATATAAACGTTCTATAGAGGTGAAATATGTATATAAAAATAAGAAGATATGGTATGATTGCCAATGAGACAACTCTCCACAAGAGACCAAATGACACAGAAATTAACAACTATAGGTCACCGAACGGCCTTCAACAATATGTATATTTATGTATAGTATTTGCACTGCGTTTGAGTATGAATGCTCGAATTATGGTAAGCGTCTTTTGTCTTTATTTTTTTTTAACAATTTTTATCCCTACTTTTGTTTTTTTTTTCTTGTTTATTGCGGCGTCATTGGCGCATATCCACATTTCCTTTTATTTAGACTAAGAAATCAAGGCAACTTTTTCTTTTGTTGCAAACATCATATACATATTGACGGGATAAGAGGGTTATATCATGGTTCTTCCATGCCAGGGATTCTGTTACCCGAGGCATCCGCTTAGGGTAGTAGCCAGTGTTCCAGTCTGTATCGAGTAGACAGCAGTTCCTGATAACAGAAATACTTACAAGGTACAAAGGAACAGCACCATAATGGCGAACATTACAATTTATTATCATATACTGTTGCGTATATGTACTGTTTCCAGCAAAGCTAATCTAATATATTCTATTATGTTTGGTTTACAGGCGTTATAATTGGTATTATACCATCAATTATTGCTGTTGGAGTAGTAATTTGTGTTGTTATAGTCGTTCGTCGACGAAGGTAAGTCAACTACGAACATTCTTTCAGGCATGTACATGTATATTCAATCATATTTCTTCATAACATATACGTATAATTATATACAACAACATATTTCCTTTAAAAAATATTAGCAGGTACATTTATATGGAGGACGGTGAAATGTTATGAAAGTGATTTACGAATCACATTTTACATTCAGCGCGAAAGCGTTGTTTGCTTTCATTTCTAATTGTGTTTCTAAAAACAGCATTCAATTATCATATTAGTTATTCATAGATTTTTTTGATAAGTTTAGATTATATAATAGTTATATAAACATTTCGAGTCTAAAAGTAAAGCTTCAAACAAAACTTTTCAGCAAATATTGTGTATATTGTGGTATAACACTAATTTTATCCCATGTTAATCAAATGTACCATAGATGTGCAGTGTCGGAAACAGTTTCGGACAAATAAAGAAAAAAGTCTACAAAAATGCCAAAGATTGGTCATTGAGATAATGTATAAAGTGCAAGCAACACTTGTTTTTTGCTTTTGCAGATCGGCTAAAAGAAAATCGGATCTTAAAAAAGATGCGCATAAACCTAATGCTACAGAAGAGATTGGGCATGTGAATAACCAAAATCGGTATTCCTATAGTGAAATTAAAATGGAGGATATCAATCAAAACGATAATATGGATAGTGGCGATGAATATACAACAGGACCATCAGGAGTCTATGATCATTTGAATGAAAATAAGGACAGAAAAATAAAAACGGAGAACCCACATGCTATATATGATCACTCTATTGGAGACAACACTGAACCAGATTATGACAGCACCAAACATATTGTACCAGCAAATCCGGATTACCAAGAAATACGACTTCGCAGTGAAGGGGAAAACCACACAGAGAAGCTTTAGCTGTTCGTTCAAACTTTAGTGACTGAACGTGGACTTAAAACTCCCGTTCTTGCTTATATAGGTTTAGTTGCTGTCCCATGAATCACATTCTATTTGAATGTCTGTAGCACATATTTTTTTTTAAACTGATTTAATATTGAAATAATGCATACTGTTATGTGAAATTCTGTTGTATCCTACATTATTTTATTCAGTGAATAAAAGCTGACTCGGGTGAAGAGTTGTAAGACATTGTGATATCAGTTTTGTACCTATGCAACACATAAACCCCCAAACAGTCTGGGCGAACTCGGGTGTTCCAGAATCGTAAGCAGTTTCTGCTCCACAAACGGTATCTGCCATGTTGCTCATTGAAGATACACATGCAAACATTTTGGATGGTTTGTTGTTTCAATATGTGGGAAATGTTTGTAGAACCATACCTAAAGGTTTAGGTCTAAAGCGAAAGAGGCATGTCAAGGTTCCAAAAGTGTAAGAAAATGTATTGCAATATATGTATATCACTTCATTGAAAAGCAAATAAAAAATAGAAAACTGTCTAAAATCTTTAAATGGCTTGAGCAAGTTAACGCAATACGTTTTTTGACTTAATTGTAGTTACGTTTTGTTTCAAAGAATGAAACCTCTATTAATTCTATAAAACATACAAACACTATTCTGTTAGCATTTTTTTTTGTCTTTATCTTTATCTTTTAAATTACTGTTAGCATTTTTATTATTTATAATTTATTATTATCATTATTCTTATTATTTTTTATTATCATTTGTAGTACTGTTTTATTGTTGATCAATGTAAAAAGTTCATATCAATAATATGCATATCACATTTTTTGTGCAAAAGGAGTTTCTTACTCTGCACTGTTCGTCGTTGCATTTTGTATATAATAAATTGAAAACAACACGTTTAATAATTTCATGCGTCCGAAGCGCTTTTCTGGATTACCTTCACCAGAACGCTCAAAGTCAAACATTTGAAATCCGAGGGATGTATAAGTACCGAAACGGTTGAAGAGCGATATGACAAAAATACCTAAAACAAATAGCCAAATCCATCTAAGGTTAACTTTGCCTGAGGGAGTTGAAACCTTAGTTTCTTTATAATTTCAAAATTTATAAACGGACAATTTTAGAAAAGTTTGTTATAAATCATGTCAGTACCGAAGTACTGACTACTGAGCTAATGATACCCTCGGGGACTGATAGTCCACCAGCAGTGGTATCGACCCAGTGTTATAAAAAATTGAAAACAACACGTTTAATAATTTCATGCGTCCGAAGCGCTTTTCTGGATTTACCTTCATCAGGAACGCTCAAAGCCAAACATTTGAAATGTTTGCCTGCATCGTGTTCCAGTGTAAATTGTTTAAGATTAAGATTTAAGATAGAATTCACTTTGATCTCGTTTACTTATTCTGTCCATTATTTATGCCGTGATGCTTTGATTGTGTTATTATTGAAAAAAATGTAAAAAGCTTACATAATATTATGTTTATATGTATCAAACTATTTTGTGCAAAATAGGTTTTAAGCACTGGTTTATTCGCCATTGTGCATATAATCGAATTGTCTGCCTCTTGTTTCAGTGAAGAATGTGTAAAAGTGAAATCAAACTTGAAATTATTTACGTTGAAAATGTTTTCTCATTCTGTGACACCGACCACTCATCGAGGAAGGGACAAGGGTTCTTTTCTCGGGACATACAATTTTTTTCTCCTTTTTATTAAAATAATAACTATCTTCCAATACCGAAGTCATTTTTGAAATCAGTATATTTTAATCAGATAATTTATTTAATAATGATCATGCAACACACACAAAATGAATAGTCGGTGGCTTATCCAATGTACATTTTCAATAGTTTCGTATCTTGTATGTACCATGCGCACTGACTTATTTTCGACTACGTTAAACAATGTACTGTTTTAAAACAAATATTTTATAAATTTCTTTCAAAATGCGTTGCATTGTATTTGCTTTTCTCATGAGAAAGATATGATTGTGTAGTATACAAGAAAAACAGTGATCTCTATCTCACTTCCCTTTCTAGTGAGTTTTGAAGTGCATGCTATATATATCACATTAAATGTATCTTTGTTAATAAAACACAATGCATTTCTTAGATTTGTTATTGTTGCTTTTACCCACGTCTGATGTTGTTAACCTTATGAAGATCCTTTTATTCTTAAGCTCTCAAACGTTTAATGACCTTGGCCCTTTCAAGCTAGTGGCCCAAAGAGAACCACCGACTTTCGGTAGGAAAACTGACAATTCTAGTCAATTAAGATTAGAGTCGAGAGCACCTATCACGTGCAGGTTTCGAACTCACAACCAGTGTTGACAGGCTTGTGATACAGTAGTTCGACTACTTTCACCCCTCGACCACCGATGACTCCTCGCGCGTCTCTGGTGATATATGATTACTATTTCGTAACATTATTATAACCCACGCAAATTTTGCGTCGGGTATAATGTTTTTGACCCGTCCGTCCGTCCGTCTGTCAGTTCGTCAGTCCTGTTCTTGTCATCGCAACTCCTCTGAAACCACACAACAGAATTTCAGGACACACAATGTAGATGTGCATATCGACAGGAAATTATGATTCAATTTTTTTCCAGGAGTTGTGCCCCTTTGAACTTATTGGCCTCAATATACTACTGCAACATTTTGTCATCGGAACTCCTTTGAAACCACACAACAGAATTTCATGAAACTTTGTAGTTAATAAGGACATACTATGTAGATGTGCATATCGACAGGAAATTATGATTGGATTTTTTCCCAGGAGTTATGCCCCTTTTGAACTTATTGGCCTCAATATACTACTGTCCGTCAGTCCTGTTTTTGTCATCGTAGATGTGCATATCGACAGGAAATTATGATTCAATTTTTTTTCTAGGAGTTATGCCCCTTTGAACTTATTGGCCTCAATATACTACAGTCGGTCAGTCCTGTTTTTGTCATCGTAGATGTGCATATCGACAGGAAATTATGATTCAATTTTTTTCTAGGAGTTACATGGGTATGCCCCTTTGAACTTATTGGCCTCAATATACTACAGTCCGTCAGTCCTGTTCTTGTCATCGCAACTCCTCTGAAACCACAACACAGAATTTCATGAAACTTTGTAGAGTAGATAATAAGGACATAATATGTAAATGTGCATATCCACAAGAAAATTTTTATCATTTGACTTTTGTAGGAGTTATGAGTCTGTGACACTTAGGCATCTCGTGAGATTTTGTTAGCTCAGTGTCCAATGTGGGGGTATGTGAGCGTGCTCACAAAGGTTCTTTAATTGTAAATACATTCGTCCTTGATCCAAGGTTAGTCTATATAAGAATAAAGACGTAGAATTATATATTTAGATGTGTTCGGCGGTGCTCGGTAGTGGTCGGTGGTGAAATGACCAGCCGTTAAAAGGGCAGCTATCCATAGATCGTAGAGTACAAGAACAATTAGCTATAATCAAGAGCAGTTCATTTTCATTCTGTTTAATACTGACAGATAATGAAAGATACTCAACATTAAACTAGGGGAGGGGGTCATACCTTAAAACTAGAAAAAAATTTATGCAAGGAAAATGAAATATATTGTAAATGTTATAATGTTCATTCCAAAATGCGCCTGTGTGTAATGAACTCATCGGGAACTTAAATAAGCTATTTCTCGCTGTGATGAAGACCCATTGGTGGCTTTGGGCTGTTTTATGCTCTTTGGTCGGGTTGTTGTCTCTTTGACACATTCCCAATTTCCATTCTCTATTCTCTATTTTATTGTATAGCGTTAATATAAGGAGACAATCACTAGACACATTTGGAATAATTTGTGCGTGGACATAAGTGTAGATTTACATACCTACATGTACATGTATAGAGCAAAATTGATATAAAAAAAAGAAATACATAATTAAGTAATTACAAGTTAATTTTACTTAATGTCTTGTCGTACATTCATGTACCACATATATCTTTAACATCATCGAAATCCTGTTCTATATTTTCACGGTGTATTTATATGTACACTGTATACATGTAATCGATAGGATATTGGGATTATAGATAAAATCTGTGAACGATATTTTTGTTTTGAAAAATATATATATCCGTTTCTAAACAATGAAGGTAAGTGAATTGTTAACTTCCCGAATATACACTTATTAATTCATAATTCTATAATAATTCTAAACACTTTATGATTCAAACACTTAATTCAGATTAGAGTTATCGGGTCTAAGGAATATTTTATTTTCATTTTTTCTCGCAACAAAATATCAGTTTTGTCCAAAGGCAAATTACTGTACTAGACCCATTGATGGTCTTGGGCTGTTTTCTGCTCTTGGTCGGTTTGTTGTCTCTTTGACACATTCCCCATTTCCATTCTCAATTTCATGTAGTTAAAAAGGTGTTGTTGTCGATAGGAACAAACGGATAAAAGAGAGGCAAAGATACAGAAGGGATATTAAAACTCAAAAGTCAAAAACAAACTGATTTGATTTGATTGATTTGATTTTTGGTGTTTTAACGCCACTTTTAAGCACCACTTTTGAGCTATTTCGTGGCGGCCAGTTTTTATTGATGGAGGAAGCCGGAGTGCCCGGAGAAAACCACCGACCTTCGATAGGAAAGCTGACAATCCTAGTCAATTAAGATTGGAGTCGAGTCCACCTGCACGAGCGGGAATCGAACTCACAACCTCAGTGTTGACTGGCTAGTGATTACAGTAGTGACTACTGAGACCACTCGGCCACCGAGGCCCCCAAAAACAAACTGACAAATCAAAGCCATGGCAAAAAACGAAAAACGACAAACAACAGTACACAAAACACAACATAGAAAACTGAAGATTGAACAACACGACACCCAGGGGTGATATCAGGTGCTCCGGAAGTGTAAGCAAATCCTGCTCCATGCAAGGGTAGCCCACGAAACTGAGAACAAAAATCTTTTGACATATTTCGGTCCTTACCAGCAATTGAAATAAACACGTACAACAAAGCCTTTTTTATCATTTTGAATTCATATGAAAATCATTTTTAAGAAACATTGTGAATATTGTTAGTGAAATGTTTTCAGATAGACTTCAAGAATGACAACCAAACATGGAATCATCTAATCTCACAGTGTATCTCGTTATTTCTATTCTTCTGTATATCTATCCAGGTAAGTGTCTCACGAAATAGGGATATATACATGTACCTAGACAGATCTTGTTAAAACCATTCCTCCCTAAAACACATAAAATTAAAAACATTTTAGCAATATATGTATAGATTTAAATGCGTAAAAAAGAATTTCTTATTCATTTTTCGGGCTATGGATATATCTGTTGTGTAAATATATATAAAAGCGATTGCATTGAAAAGAATTTCTAATTTATTTTTCTGAAATTCGTTCAAATAATTTCTTATTTTTTTTTTTCTGGAATACATTAAAAAGAATTTCTTATTTGTTTTTCTGGAATGCATTTAAAGAACTTCTTATCTATTTTTCGGGCTGTGAATACATGTATATTTGGAACATAAAAATATGTTACGTCGAATGTTTTAAAAACAATTTTTTCCTATATTTTTCGATATATGTGAATATATTTGGGATGTAAATATATTTTGTGTTATTTCACAATCCAGACGTCTACAACTTTTACCTTCAGTCTTTTTAGTAGCCGAAACGTCTCTTTCTTACTACCATACCAAACTAACATGGACAGAGGCAAGGGATTTCTGTTTTAATCAAAGTGGCATACTTGAAAGCAACCACACAGAAATCATGGAACATTCAGACAATAAGACAGGAGATGTGTGGACTGGATCTTATACAACCTGGTCT